ATTGCAGGAGTAAATGTTTCGGATTAGGAAATTAAATTTTTCCTATCCCTCTTCACATGGTCTGAGACCTTGTAGCTCTCTCATCTCCTTGGCCACCTCAGGAGGCCTGGTCCCCAGGCTCAGGCCCAGCACCATGAGGAGCCCTATGCTTAGGGGATGAGGAAGAGAAGCAGCTGGACTGGACTAAAGAGTCTGACTGGGGGAAGGGAAAGTTGAACACTGAGAAATGGACCAGTAGCCTCTCCAGAAAGACACTCAGGGAAATATCTTTCCAGAAACTTATCCCACTTGTTGAAAATGAATTTCACTAACTAAAACCAATTACTCATTATTCAAGTATGCCCATAAGGAATCAATGTAATCTGTATGAGAAATACATTAAAGGAAGTGCCCTGCTGCCCAGAGAGGAGGATAGTTCAAGCAAAAATGAGAGAAACATCTCAAGATTCCTTGTGGGACAGAACTTGGGAGATCTCACCAGGAGAACATGGAGTCTCCATAGTCAGGCACAGCAGTGTGGTGAGCGTGGATTACAATTAATGGAGCTCCAGGACCAAGTCTACCTGGAGCAGAACTCAGTGAAGCTGCAAACAGCAGAGGAGACAGAGAAGAGAACAGGGGATCCCTGTGTAGTTTCCTCCTCCACCACATGCCAGACAACACTCAGGAAGCCCAGACCTTCAGGCTCATTTCATTTTCTCTCTCTCCTTGGTGTTCTTTGCATGACATGGCTCCTACTGGGATGTCTGGGTAAATCCATGTGGGACAGCAAGAATTGCACAGTGGACACACACATTGCTACAGGGTGAAGGCCACACACTTGAGGAGACTCAGAGATGGCTCTTTGTCTAAGCCTGTGCTGGATCCTGAGGTTCAAAGGAGAAGGATCAGCATGAATCCCGCCAGGACATCACTGCGTCCTTCTTGGGGACAAGGTGTCTGAAGAACCCAGATTCCCTCATGCAATTGTACCAGCTCACCAGATACCTGATTCCAGACAACCATGTAATCAGACACTACATCACCAGCATCAGAAGGGAATGCTGTTGCCTCCATATCTGTCTCTTCTGGGAATCCATTATATAGGTGGAGCTTCAGAGAATCCTGAGTGGACACACAGCCTCTGGACTCTGTCTTCTGTTGCATTACTCTACTACCATTTCTAGTAGTATCTGCAACACAGGGTCCTGATTTCTAGGCATGGGCATCTGATGGAAGCAAATCCCTGTACTCAGCCAGGGTGTGGGGACTCACAGACTCAATTTCTTGTGGATATGCAGGAGGCTACACTGACAGAACCCATCTCCAGGCTGCATAATTAGAGTTGCACTGGGGTTACTCTTGGCCCCTTCAGAACCCATGAAGATAGAACTGGAGATCCTTACATGGGATTAATTTTTTTTTTCTGTAGCAAGGTGACTCAATCAGAGTGGTGCAGTTCTTATTTACTATTGGTGCATTGAAATACTTTCCAGTAAGTTGCAACAAGGACCCTCATGATTCTTTGCTACTATGTTCGACAGAAAATGCGTTATACATTACCTAAAGTATCACGAATTCATATGTTAGTGGAGAGGATGCACTGTAGATTTTTCCCAATATTTCTGATGCTAAGACAGAGGGGAAATTCAGTAGCAGGTTCTGTGCTTACTTGTGAGTTTCATGTACAACATTGTTCTCTACCATGCAGGAAGCTGAGAGCTGTAGGTGTACACACAGAAATGCACTTTGCTACAGAAAAAAAATGCATCAATAAAAAACTACAATATATTTCAATAGGGTACAAATTACAGTATCTAGTGTAAATTTCTACTGTGAGGTAGAAAAATGTGTATGGAACTTTGAGTTGAAAATAAATGTATCTTAACATAAACCCACGAAGACACATTATTATGAGAACATTTCACATGCACAAGGAGAAATACAATCAGATGACTGTCTAATTGTCCATAAAATTCATAACAAATTCTGTGTCTTAGACAATATTTGCCCAATTGAATGAGATGACAGTATTAATCCATGGGTCTTAAAACCCTGGAATATGTGAATGATGGTAAGAGCAAATACAGAATGGAGAATGACATTTTATTTGAAGCAGTACCCTAAAACGCATGTGTACATATGCCCATAGGATGTGAACTGATGTTTTGTGTTATGCACACAATCCCTATGCTCATTTGTTTTATATACCTCACACCCCTGTTATCCCTGGGACCTATGTTCTATTTTTCATATCTGCAAAGCCATCCTTCATCTGTAAACATACACAATTCCATTAGGGGGAAAACAAGGACAGGTATACATGTAGAGGCTTATACATGCCTAGAACTTATTGTAAACAGTTAATGAGAAATGATTATATTACGTGTGATGAAATTAGCAGCTACTTTGAAGATAAACAGATACTATGATATCCATTGCTTATTCTACATCATCATGCTGTGAAATCTAGTAATGCTTCTATTCTTTGTTCAGAGTGGTTTTAGTCTGTTTTGTATTATTTAATTTCAACATACATGAAGGTATGGACAGTTATTTTTTAAGAGAACAAGAGACATTATGACAGCCATTGTTAATTGTCATATTATCTGGTTTTGAAGGCCTGTAATGCCGTCATTACTCCATTATGACCAGTTTTACACTATTTGTTTTGTATGAATTCATTGTGTTTGAAGTTATAGACAACTATTTAGAAGCAAACAAGAGACATTGAAGCCACTGTAGATCCCCTTTTGTCTTGCTTTGAATTCTGTGTCACTTACGTTGTTTTCTTCTGATCTGCTCTTTTCTGTTTCATTATGTTTAGTTTTATCCTTTAAAAAAACAAACAAAAAAAAACAAACAAAGAAAAACGTACACAATTCCCTGACTAGCTCTTCCATTATATATTCTGTATGGAGTAGGAGGATTGGGCCTAGAGCAATGGACTCCAAGGACTTCGGATTTCATTGAGGGCTCAGTGAGCATCTTTCACTCAGTGGCAGTTTCAAAAATGTGAATGTCCTCTGTCTCCTGGTGACCTTCATGTACGACATAGCTCCCCACATGCAAATACTTCTGGAGCTAACAGATAAACTCATATTTCATTCTAGCTTAATTTACTGTGTATCTCAATGTTTCAGATGTTCTCAGAGATTTGTACACCTGCTCTTCAACACCAGACTCTTTAGTCCAGTCCAGCTGCTTCTCTTCCTCATCCCCTAAGCATAGGGCTCCTCATGGTGCTGGGCCTGAGCCTGGGGACCAGGCCTCCTGAGGTGGCCAAGGAGATGAGAGAGCTACAAGGTCTCAGACCATGTGAAGAGGGATAGGAAAAATTTAATTTCCTAATCCGAAACATTTACTCCTGTACATGCTGGCTCCCAGATGATGTAGAGATGCTGCATCTGATCTCAGGACTCACTATGTTCTCTACCATCCTGTCTCAACTACTGCTGCAAGAGACCTGATCTGGTCCAGCAAAGGACTCACAGTCGGTCGTGATCTGACTTGCACATTCGCTGGTTTTTTTCCACTCCCTCTATGCTGTCTCTGGAGCTGGATCCTTCAACCACCATGAAGGAAACTGAGTGAATGTGTCAGAATGATTAAGAGCTGTGGCACAGTTTGTAATTCATCCCTGAAAGTCAGCATATCTAAAGACAGCCAAGAACCAGTTCCCTGTGCAACTGTCCTTACTATCCATGGAAACCACCGTCGTGCAGTACTGTGCAAGACAGTGCCTGAAAGTTTTCTAGCGGGAGGAAACTGGTAACCCTGACACAAAACTATGTATAGAGTAGCGCCGACCAGTAGAGGGCGCTCAGAACAAAGAAGAGGGGAGTGCTTGAGAGGAGAGGGCTGATAAGGGAAATCTCTGACTAGTGAAAGAGCCCTGGGGATCTGCAGAGAACTAGGGGTGGCACCGGAGAAGGTTCCTACAAGGAGGCTAAGGACTGAGGGCTTCTAGAGGTTCAGAGAAGGAAGCTAAGGACTGAGGGCTTCATTTTAGTGAATGAACTCTCTCCTCTGTGTGATCATCACACACACGTTGGAGAACGAACGGCACATCCTTGCTACCTCACATATGAATTCTCCAGAGCCCAAGCTATGAAAGGGACTTGGTGGTGATAGATTACATTTACACCTGCACTGTTTTCATTTCCTTCGCCTGAATTCCTGTGGACAGCAATAAGAACTTGCATATACTGAAAAGAAGAACAAACATCTTAAGAATTTAGATGCTGTGGAATATACGATACTCATCATCATCATCATGGAAAATTAGAGTGCTAATTTTATCTCCAAGAGAAACAGACAGGCTCATGCAGTAATAAATGTTTCAGTTGAGGAAGGATCTACAATAAAGGAAGGACACTTTATGAAATACAACAGGAGAATTTAGGATCCATAGCATATCTTGACAATGGGCATACTTTGTAAGTATTACCACGTTGATAGTATGTATCAAAATGCATCTCATTTATCCATCATTAAAATTAATACATATACTTATAATAGGTATCTTATAGTGGAAAGCCTAATGCAGAGGTAAAAAACATGAGACACCATATTCTTGAACATATGCTTGACAAAGATTCTGCTTATCTGTTCCTTTATGAGACTAATACAACACAGAAAATACTGTCAGGTTCTCTGAGTAGAAGAAGACCTTTGAAAAACATCATGAAACATGGCCACTATGTCTTGGAAATGATCTGCCATCAGTTGAGAACTGCAGTTTTATAAAAGATAGCTCACATCTCATAGGTCATTATACTTCTAACTCTATGTACATATCTGCAAACTTATCAAATCATCAAATCCTTAATTACATGTATGTAAGAAGTAAAACACATGATGTTATGTGTTTATCACTACACAGACATAAGAATAAACCAACTGGTCTATATATTAGGGATATTCCAAAGAATACTTTTCAAAGTATTCTTCTCTTTCTGAGGCTTCCTCAATAGAACTGGCTATATAGGAGGAGGACATGCAAATAGGGCCTCACTGTGTTGATGAAAGCCAGCCCAGCCCTCACCCTGCAGCTCTGCACAGGAGTGCAGCCCTCGAGGTTCAGGTGTTTCCACTTGATGATCAGGACTGAGCACAGACGGCTCACCATGGAGTTTACAATGAGATGGGTTTTCCTCCTTTTCATTTTGAAAGGTAATTGATGAAAAACAAGTGATAGTTATTGTGATAATAGACATGAGTATGATAAATAGAGGACATCTGTACTACTTTTCTGAACAAAGTATCCCTGTGTTTGCAGGTGTCTTGTGTGAGGAGCAACTGGTGGAGTCCGGGGGAGGCTTGGTGCAGCCTGGTGGGTCCCTGAGACTCTCCTGCGTGGCCTCGGGATTCACCTTCAGTAATTGGTACATGAGCTGGATCCGCCAGGCTCCAGGGAAGGGGCTGGAGTGGATCGCAGCTATCAGTGATGATAGTAGTGATATAGAATATGCAAACTCGGTGAAGGGCCGATTCACCATCTCCAGAGACAACAACAACACGCTGTATCTGCAGATGAGCGGCCTGAGACCCGAGGACACGGCTGTGTATTACTGTGCTACACAAAGTGAGAAAATGTCACTATGAGTCCAGACACAAACATCCCTACAGGGGCGCTTACGACCAGCAGGGGGCGATGGAGATCCACTGAGTGAGACAGGGCTAGGCCCCTGGAAGCAGGAGCAGAGCAGGAAGCAGGTAACTGAGGGTTTCCTTAAGGCCTCTGGGGTTTCCTCTGTCTTCACATCACAGGAAGAGACCGGAGATACACAAGCTTTAGATAACTTAGAGGGTATTTAAGATACACGCACAGTTTTCGTTATTTATACATATTATTTTCTTGGTGTTTTTCGTATCGTTTTTCTAAAAAAGGCGATAAAACCCAAAATACATTTTGAGAAGTTAAGTTTCATTTGAATACCACATCATCCTTATCTAAAAATGATATTCTTAGTTTTCTCCTCATAAGGAACCATTGTCTATTGCATGAGTAAATGTTTCAGGTTAGAAAACTAAATTATTCCCTTCCCTCTGCACAGCGTCTGAGACCTTGCAGTTCTCTCCTCTCATTGGCACCTCAGGAGACCTGGTCCCCAGGCTCATTCAAGCACCATGAGAAGCCCTGGGCTTGGGAGAGGAGGCAGAGGGGCAGCAGGCAGAACTCAGGGCAGTGTCCAGGGACCTGGCTCAGCTCTTTGTGTTCATGTTATGTGGCTGGAATTAATTTATGTAGCTTTAAATTAGGAATTTATCAAAGGAACTTCATTATTCTTTTTCTTTAGTCTATATCTGTCTCTGTCTCTATAACACAAATGTACAGGTTTCAATCTATATATGGGTGTAAGAAGAGATAATATTTAAAACAAAATGTTCCTGTTTCATAATATTCATTTTTCTTCAGTAAACCAGTTCTCTGATTAGTCTTCCTACTTTTTTAAATTTTATATCTATTCATTCTGTATTCATTAGTTACATACTCTTTAATAAATTTTTATAAAATAGTCAAATATATTTTTATTAGTAATATAATTCTTTGTATCATGGCAAGTGTGCATTGAAGAGAACAAAATTATTTTAAATACACAATCTGCACATATGCACACTGCTTGAAAACAGAACTGAGGTGATGTCTTCCCACATAAATGTCCCACATTTCCCTCAGTTGTCCATGGAAATCATGGTCACTGTCATCCTGTGAAACTAAATACCGTCCCCTCCTCACTCAGATCTGCACTTCACCTAGGCCATCATCATCACTACTGTGCCCTGGTTTCAGGGATGAGAGTTCCTGTTTCCCGTGGTGTCCCAGGTGCACCTGTTGTTTTCAGCCCTAGGTGAGAAAATATTCCAGAACCTTCCATCTCCTGAGATATAGCTGGATACACTATAGAATGTCCTGAATTTCATTTTCCTGGAGTTCTTTGAAATGTCTAATATTTGTCTTTAGATTTGTAGGAGACAATTTGAGTGACTCCCCTTGAATGCAGAACAATTGCTGCAACACTGATTTTATTGAGACTCATTTCCATAAGCTGATATGTATAGATCTGACTATGGTATATCCTTCTCACTTCAGTTGGCTCTAGGCATTACAAATAAGGCTATCGAAGGTACTGATATGTAATCATTAAGCCCTCAGACAGTCTAGTTTCGCACATAGTGCTCTCTGTAAAAGATATGAGCAAAGTGGGATTGAAGAGCCTGTCAGCTCCAGGAATGCCAACTGGGTAAGAGCCTGGAGATAAAGAGACACTAAGTCCCAGGGCATACAAATTTGCATATCAGAAAGTGAAGCAACCAACTCCCAAAACAATTCCATTGCTAACTTAATTGAATTATGATGACTGATCCTTCTGTGTGTCATTCTACCTGCATTTTTTTGTATTGGTACCAGAGTCTACCTGCATTTTCTTAAGGTGCTTTTCTCTCTACCTGGCTGACCAGTTCAATTTACATAGGCCTTCCATCCTCTCTGTCACTCATCCTCAAGCCATCCCCTTCTTTACAAGATAATAAATTCTAGGACAGGCCAGGAATCAAGGCCTGTGTCTGCACATCCTCATGGGAATTATACTTAGGACCCTTTGGTTGCCCTTAACTTTGAATATATCTAAGTGTCTTTATTTTCTTCAGTGGTTGCATTGGAGGTGCTAGATTGGAATTAACTTGTTGGGATTCCAACAGTGTCTCAATGGGATTATGGATATAACTTTTTGTATTGTAAAGAGGACTGGAAAAGTGATTGCAATACTGGACTACAATACTCAATATTTGGAATTACAATATTTAGAGCTAGTGTGACCAGAATACACAACCTTCACATCACAACTACTGACCATCACTCAGCCGACAACCCACTGGACCTCGCATGATGAATTTCCTTAGAAACAGTTTCTAAACTGACCTTTTAGCTCTAATGCTCATATTATATTTATACATGCTTTGATTAAACTTGGTTTTCTCTTAAAGGCTTCCAAATCCTAAGATATCATTCAGATAAACACAAATAACAAATATTCGAGATTGCTTTTACTGGGATCCACCAGCTCTTGTCCAGAGAAAAGGTTATATGATGCATATCAAGCCCTTAATTAACTATACCCAATAGGCCTTAAATGAAGCTGCAGCTTGTCTCTCTCCTAAGTAAAAATGCTAAAATTAGCAAAACAGGCCATCCTCCAAACTCAAGCCACGAGACAGGAGGAACTTAATACAGGACGAACATATGCAATTGTGAAAACTTAACATGTACATTCCTAATATGCTTGTTCATGTCTCAGTAGCTGTTCAAGATATTAAATGACAAGTCAATGACACAATGGATTCTTTATTTTATTTTTTATCAATACTGAAGATTGAACACAAAACCACGTGCTTTCAAGGCAAGCACCTATGTTGCTGAGATAAATCCCAAGCCCCTGACACAACAGATTCTAAAATTCACTGGACTTTCTCTTTATAGGAAGTCATTACTAGCTCTTTTGATGAAAATCTTTGTTCACTGTACTCATAATTATCCTAAGGCTTTGGCCCATACATACATAATTCTTTCTTTTCCTTGACTACTCCAGACTTAAAGCTGTACACCTAACCAGGACAAAAATGCCTGGTATCTATGGAAGTCATTAGATAGGATCTCTGCAGAGTATCCCTGACTGATGATCTGCAAGTATGATCACGTTCAACCTGAAGAAGTCAGATCAGTCATTACTTCCTCATGGATTATTATAGGCAGCTGAGTTAGATAGAAATATTGTAGACAGACATACAGGACTAGGACCTCAAAGGAGCCAGTGCAGAAGTCCAGACACCTTGTACCTAAGGAGGAGACAGGCACCACCCACTGTGGGCCAGGCATCAAGACAAAAGATCCAACAATCCTGTTATTTTGTTTTTACATTACCTATTATGTCCATCCTTTTGATTTGACTGACTATGTTCTGTTATGTCACATTTGCTTTTACTTTATTCCAAAAAACGTAATAAGAACTGTGGGAGTAATAAAACCCAAAATGTGTAATTGTCATTGTACAAAAGAAAGGAAAAGAAAGTGCTCTAAAGGATTTAACTGCATATATATTTAAGTGTATAGGATAGATAACCATATTACTGAGTTTTGTTGGATCATTGAACAAAACTGTTTGCAGTCTCACTGTTTGAGAGTCCACTTTCTATGCTTTGGTTTTGTGGCTTGAACAACTATTCCTAAGATAACTATATGTAATCTATTAGCTAGTGATTTTCTATTGTTTATTCTTTCTGAAATTCTGTATGACCTGTACCCTTTTTCTGTTTTATTTTTCTCCTTAAATAAAATTAAAAAAAAAAGATCAAACAATCAAAAGGATTGATATTCTACTTAGGTCTCTATCACCCTGAGGAAGCCAGGAGTCATTAGCCCAACCCCCTACAGAAAGAATCACTGCTCAGTTTGGGTTCCTGCTTGCTATGTGACTTGCGTCCCCACTTGGGCCCGATTTAATCAACTTTACCTGAGTAATTACAGTCATAATCTTATAGATTGCCCATAGTTCTGTCCCACCTATGCCCATCTTGTGGGTTCCCATGGTTTCCCTACATTAGACATGTCTCACTTTGTTTTTTTGCTCTATAAAAGTCCCTAGGAAATACAGAGCCTTTGGCAACCCACTTGGGACCCTTTGTATCTCTCAGGGAGAACCTTGCTTTCTCTCAATAAATATTTTCTGCTCTTACCCTCCATTGTTCCTAAAATTCATTTGTCATTTTAGAGAACATTAACTCATACTGGAAATCTATTATGTTGGGAGTTTTAGTCCCCAATATCAAAATGATGTGGGTAAATGAGTTAAAAGAATCTGGATTCTCATCTCTCAATGAACTGAGAGAGCACTGTGCTCAAATGGAAAGGGCTCTCCCAGTCCCAATTGTGGCTCATTAAACTAGCAGACTATCTGCGTTGTGTGGTCACAAATAAGGATTTCCATGTGATTAATCTGTTTACAAAGTAGACAAATAGCACTCATGGCAGTGGTGATGAAATAGGACACGTGCTGCTCTGCTGAAGTGGTCACAAACAGAGTGACCCCTGCATCCAGCATTTGTGCCACATCACACTGGATGTCAGAATGCACACTCCCCATGCTCAGGGCCTGCCAGTGAAGAGAAATGGAGCTGGGCTCTGTGCTCCATCATGACTCACTAAGGAATCCTCAGACCCAGTGTCCTGACTCATACACAAATTGATAAGGGTGTCAGGTCATGGAAGAATTATTTAGGAGATCTAATTAAAACAGCATCCTACCTTAGGTAATGCGTAGAGCACTGGTTGAATCTAGCTTGCATGCTGATCCTAGTTAATCTGAGTAGTGTTTGCTGTGGAACTCTGTAGCAAGGAATCATGAAGGTCCTGGCTGCATCTTAATGGAAAGCCTTTTATTGCACCAATAGTAAATAAGAACTGCACCCCTCTGGTTGACTGAGAGTCCCCTGAAGACCAGTGCCATCCCCATCACAGCTGAAAACCATTCACTTTCAGGCTCTGTGCTCTGCTCTGAATTTCATGTGCAGTATTGTCCTCCAACTTGCAGGAAGTGAACAGCTCCAGGTGTCTTCATAGCAATGCATCTTGCTACAGAAAAAAATGTGGCAACAAAAAACTAAGTTCTATATCAAAAAGGCTAGAAATTACACTACACAAGTGTAAACATCTGCTGTGCAGCAGATAAAAGTTGTAAAGAACATTGAGATTAAATAAATGTATCTTCACAGAAACCCATGAACATGCATATGTATGAGTGCATTTCACGTGCACAAAGAGAAATATGATCAGGTGAGTGCCAAAAAATCTACAAAACTTAAGATAACTTTTAGAGGATTTGTGCCAACTTAATTGAGATACTAACAATTTGTTATTGGTCTCACATTCTTGGATTACACTATTGAATGAACAAGTAGAGAATGGAGAATTCAAATTGATTTGAACAAGGACCTTGAAATGGATGTGAATAGATGCACGTGGAATGTGAATTGATGCTGTATGTTATGCATATGTACCTAAGCACATGTGCTGTGTGCACCTCACAGTCCTGTTATCTTTGGCACCTGTGTGCTGATTTTCATATTACTAGAGTTTTCCTTCATCTGCAAACACAACCAGCTCCCTGACCAGCCCTTCCACTACCTGTCTGATCCTGGAGTCAGAGTTTTGTGCCTTGAGCAATGGACTCCATGAACATTGATGGGTTCTTAGGGGGCTCAGTCAGCATCCTCCAACCAGAGGCAATGACTAAAATTTGTTCATCCTTTACCTCCTTCTGATCTTCATGGACAAGACTGCATCACAGATACAAATGTTTTTGAGCTACCAGATTAGCTCATGTTGCACATTGCCTTAATTTGTTTGGTATCTCAATATTTAAGATGCTCACAGACAGATGTAAAGTTAGTCTTTCAGAACCTAGAATAATTCTGGTTCTTTCTCTTTCTGGTGGTGGCTCCCATATGTGAGTGTAGGAAAACAGAAAGGATGATGCGGAGATTCTGCCTGTGATCACATGAGTCGCCCTGTTCTCACACTGTAGCATCTTAGCTACTGCTGCAAGAAACCAGGCCTGGACCCATGAAGACCTCTAAATCCCTGTGTCTCAAGCGCACATTCTCTGGTTAGCAGAGCTCTAGGATGTTGCCCCTGTAGTTGGTTCCTTCAGATGACAGGCCAGGAAACCGAGTGGATGTGGCAGGATGCTAATAGTTGAGGCACAACTTGTCATTCATCCCTGAGAAGCCAGCATCTCTAAAGCCAAGAACCAGTTATTTGAGTAACTGTCCTTAATATTCGTCAAAAAATCACCATATTGCACTGTGCAATGCATTTACTGAAGCAGTCCAAGTGTGAGCCCAGGCACAATGCTATGAACAGGGTGGTGTGGATCAGCAGGAGGTGCTCAGGATCAGTAGCAGGTGCACAGGAACAAGAAGAGTATGCTGCAGGAGATCAGGACCGGGTGCTCAGGACCAGTTAGGAAAGCTCTGGACCAGCAAATGGACCTGGGGATCTTCAGGGAACCAGAAGGGGATCCATAGCTGGTGGAGAGAAGGATGCTTCGGACTGATGTCTTCATGTTTAGTTTCCCCTCTGTCTTAGCTTCACACACACTGCAGAGAGTGTGCAGTGCAGCTTCTCCACTTCCCAGGTGAGGTCTCCAGAGTGCAGGGAATTGAAGAGATTTTGGTTTTGTCAGATTATATTTACACCTGTATTTTATCATCTTCTTCATGTGACTTCCTGTGGTAAAGCTGCAGCAACTTGCATATTCTAGTAAAAAAGACTGAGCATCTTTTTTAAAAAAATTATTTAATGAGAAAAAAGAAAAAAAAACAGAAAAAAGGGTACAAGTTATACAGACTCTCAGAAAAAATAAACAGTAGGAAATCACTAGTTAATTACATATTGTCACTTAGAAATAGTTGTTGAAGTCATAAAATTAAAGCCTATAGAGGATACTTGCAAACAGTTTTGTTCAATGATCCAACAAAACTCAGTAATATGGTTATCTATCATATATACTTAAATATATATGCAGTTATATCTTTTAGAGAACTTTCTTTTCCATTCTTTTGTGAAATGACAATTACACATTTTGCATTTTATTACTCCCACAGTTCTTATAACTTTTTTTTAATAAAGTAAACCCAAATGTGACATACCAGGACAGAGTCAGTCAAATCAAAAGGATGGACATAATACATAATGTAAAAACAAATACAAGGTGATGGCAATTCTTCTTAAGGTAGCAAGAAGCAGTATGGTAAACATTGTTGAAAGACTGTGCATCTTAAGAACATAGTTGCTGAGAATACACAGTTCTCATGATCATCATGCAAAAGTAGTCTGCTATTTTTGTCACCATAAGAAGGAACTGTCACAGACAGTAATAAATGTTTATTTTAGGAAAGAATAGAATAAAAATATTTACAGAAAGAGTGTTTTATGGAAAAGGACAGGAGAATTAACGAGTAAATATTAAATATCTTCTGAATGGGCATGGTTTTGTGAATATTTATTTGTATAACTATCAAAATGTATATCACTTGTTCATCATTGAAATATACATCTAATATGTATATATTTTTGCATAATATATATAATAAGTGTATATTTTTAAATAATGTCTTACTTCCCCAGAGGTAAGAAAAGCTGTCAGATACCTGAATATATTTTTGAAAAAGATTCCTCTTGTCTACTCATTTATGAATATAATAGAATACACCATAATATTGTCATATTCTCTCTTTAGAAGAAGACATGTGACAGTCGTCATATAGCATGACCCCTCTGTCTTGGAATTGCTCAGCAAGTCGTTGAGTTCTGTGAGAAGATTGTAGGACCTCACAGATAGGATGATTTTTATAGCCTTTAATGTCACATCTCATAGGACATTATGCTTCTCATGCTACATACACATCTGCAATCTTGTGAAGTTACCAAATCCAGTAATTACATATTGGCAAGAATAAAAAAAAAAAAAAAAACTGATGAGTTACACATAGGATAGAACCATGTGTTCTGTATATTAGAGATAGTACAAAACAAATCTCAAAACACTTTCATGTGCTTTGAACCCTTTCTTCTCTGAGGCTTTCAGAACATAACTGGCCATATATACAGGAGGCCATGCAAATAGGGCCTCCCTGTGCTGATGAAAACCAGCCCATCCCTGACCCTGAAGCTCTCCAAAGGAGCCCAGCCCTGGATTCCCAGCTGTTACCACTTGGTGATTGGCACTGAGCACAGACAGCTCACCATAGAGCTGGCACTGAATTGGAGTTTTGCTTCTTGCAATTTTAAAAGGTAATTCATGAAAAATAATAAATACAGTGTGAGTGAGTGGAATGAGTAGGATAAACAATTGGACATATGTGACAGAGTTCTGATCAAGATGTCCTTACAGGTGTCTTGTGTGAGGAGCAGCTGGTGGAGTCCAGGGGAGGCTTGGTACAACCTGGGGGCTCCCTGAGACTCTCCTGCATGGCCTCAGGATTCACCTTCAGTGATTACCACATGAGCTGGATCCGCCAGGCTCTCGGGAAGGAGCTGGAGTGGATCTCAGGCATCAGTAGCAGTAGTAGTTACATAGACTACACAGACTCCGTAAAGGGCCAATTCACCATCCACAGAGACAACGGCAAGATGAGTGGCCTGCGAGCCGAGGACATGGCCATGAACTACTGTGCTAGAGACACAGTGAGACAATGTCGCTGTGAGATGACACAAACGTCCCTTCAGGGGCCCTTAGTACCAGCAGGGGGCGATGGAGATCCACCTAGTAGAGGCCTGAGCTCCAGGATCAGGTGCAGAGCAGGAAGCAGGGGACTGAGGGCTTCATGTGGGCCTCTGGGGTTTCCTCTGTGTATTACCATCACAGAACTGGAAGGGACCCAAAATACACAGGCTTCAGATGTCTTATGAAGTATTGAAGATTCAAGTTCAGTTATATATGTATGTATATATATATATATATATATATATATATATTCATTTTTCTTGATTTCTATCATATGAATTTTCTTAAAAAGGCTATAACTGCAAAGTAGCTTGTACATGTTGGGAAGTTGTGTCTTTTGAATATCGAATTATCATTATGTAAAATGAAATTGTTATTTTTCTCATCATTGAGAGCAATTGCCTATTGCCAGAGTAAATATCTGAGGTTAGGAAATTAAACCCTTATCATCCATTTTCATATGGTGTGAGACCTTGCAGCTCTCTCCTCTCTTTGGCCACCTCAGGAGACCTGGATCCCAGGCTCAGTCCAGCACCATTAGGAGCCCTGAACTCAGGAGAGGAAGAAGAGGGGCAGCTGGCCTGGATTCAGGGCAGTTTCCAGGAACCATGCTGAGCTCTTTTTGCAAATATTATCTGGCTGTAATTTTATTTACATAATTTAGATGTTAGGAATTTATGAAATATACTTTACCATTCTTCTTTGGCTTCCTTTCCTCTGTCTCTCTCTTTCTCTGAAATACATATGCATAAATTTCAATCTATATCAGCCTAGTCAGAGACAATATGAACATTAAATGATATTGTTTCATAATATTAACTTTACTTTCTAAACATTCTCATATCTATGGTTTTATCCTTTTTTATTTTATGTAAGTCCATTCTGTATTCATTTGTCACGTATCATTTCCTATTTTTTGTAAGATAGATACACTTCTGTACTGACTAACTTCATCCTTACTGTCATGATGTTCTGTGAAGCATGTGCCCACTGAACAGGAGGAAATTATTTGAAACACTCAATCCTCGCACATGCAGGCTTCTTGAAAGCAGAGCTGAGATGAACACTTCACACATATCCACCATGTGGCTGTGGCCTCATGGTCATCCTGGGAAGCTAAATCACCTCCACCTCCTCACCCAGAATTCACCTCACCTGGGCCATCACTTTCACTGCCTCGCCTTGGTTTCAGGAATGAGAGTTCCTGTTTCTAATGGGATTCCACATGCACCTTTTGTTTCTAGCCCAGGTGAGAACACCTTTCGGAACATGGTTTAATTGGTATGTAATATTTTTTGTGAGATTCACATCTTACACATGTTTATCTTTGAGTTCATTACAGTAACACTAAAGGTTGTAATAAGCCAAAGTTTGGAATTATGACATTTAAAAATATGATGTTTTAAAACTAACTAGGCAACCTTAGATATGTTGCCAAATTTGTTCCCAGGATTAGATTTAGCTCATTAGCATCAAGATAACATGGCACAGATAATAAAATTTAAGAGATTAACCCAGTTGTCTCCCCTATATTTGCATACTGCCATGTGACTGACTCACATGTGCAGTCTTTTATCAAGAGAAATGAGCTGATCTTATTTGACTAAATGACTATGAAATAAAACAAGGCTCTTTCTGTGCTTTAGACATTAAAATATTAAAAAAATGAAAAAGGGTAGAGAAATACCCCAAGGAGAACTGTATTTGATGAAAGTTTCTCCTTGTGAGATATGTTTACAGCTTCAACAGATGTGTTATCCTCACTCTCTGATTCTCTAGCAAACTCAGCCTTCTGTAATTCATGAATTTCTTCCAACTTAATTTTCTGATCACATGGCCTAGGGTAACTTCAGCCCCAGGTAGTGAGTCTTGGTCCTGTTTTATTATGTCAGTCAGGTACCTCCAGATTCCATATTTTTATTGAAATGTAATGACATTCTTTGATGTTCTCATGAAAATTTATTAATTTACACTTAATCCAGTGTAGTTTTTTTTGTTTATGGTTGCACTGTTTATTGTAAAGAAAGAACAACACATGCAATAAATTCAGACAAAATAAAATGGTATAAAAGCAATAAAAAAAGAATGAAAGCATTGTGGGCTTTCAGACCAGACAATAGGAAATCAACAATGACTTACACAATATCTCTTGTTCTCTTCAAAATAGCTGTCCATACTCTCACACATATTGAAATCATGTGAAGGCATGTACAACTATTTCAAAGAAAACAAAAGACATTATGATAGCCATTATTGATTTCCTGTTGTCATGCTTAGAAGTCCTGTGATGTTTGCATTGTTCTGTCTGATCCTCTTTATTCTGCTTTGCTTTTTCATTCTCTTTAAAAAAAAAAGAACAACATTTTACATATTTATATTAGCAGGATGATGAGTGGCTTTCCTGGTAATCACTGAAGCTTGTAATATTTAAATAACCATTAAGAGGCCAATTAAAGAATTAAGCTATAGTATAATATACCTTGTTATTTTTTGATTGTTCATTTTCTGCTTGTTTTTGTCTTCCAGGGGATGAAAAGGCCTCACAGTATATCAGCAATTAGTCTACCACTGAGCTGTGTCCTTGGCTCCATTTTCATATATTGGGAAATTGATCAGGATAAATGTCCATGAATGTCGATTCCCACAATCATGTGCAGATATTTCAAACTCATATTGTGTGAAACGTAACAAAAGATACAGAATGTGTGTTTTTTTAAATCAGTGTTGAAATAGGGATGTTAGTGAAAAGCAGCGTGATGATGGTCACTAGCTGCATGGGGAAGGGATGCAGACGGGAAGCAGGGGAGGGAGGGACTGCAGAGGAGCCTCAGGACACAGGGAAGATGGCATTGCTATTGTGACTGCGTGTACAAGTAGGCAAGTGTCCATATGTGTTATTACATCTCAGGGGCAGACATTACATACGGGATGTCTGTGTCTTGAGTATGTCACAGATTAGCAAAGTGTAATTATAAAAAAGCACTTAGAGAGTTAATGACAGTTGCAAATGAGAAGCTCACTACCAATTATCCTCTTACATGCTGATTTTGTTTACTCTAAGCAAACAGCAGAATTCAGCAAAGTCACACATGTTCTCTTTGAATAAAGAGGAGAATAGAGTCATGAACAAGGATGTGTGTTCTGTCCAGAACCTGGAACAGTTTGTTCACAGCTTAGGAGCACATAAGCCAGACAGTGGGGAGAACATTTACAGCACAGCAGCTCTCCTGAAAGAAAAGAAACAGTTTCTGGCACTTTCATAACTTTCATAAAGCAGATAAATTGAATACAAAAATGCATTTTATGTGCACAGGAGAAATCAAATAACATGAAGAGATAGAGATACCAAGGCATTATCTCACAGCGGGTTCTCAGATCATGTTGAATTCAATTATTGTTGCCAAACTCCCTCACTACAGTCAAATCTGAGAAGGGCACAGTCCTCTGTCAGTTTTTCATGCCAAGAGCCCTCTTTATAGCAGGAGGCCATGCAAATAGGGGCTTCCTCTGTTGATGAAATTCATCCCAGGCCTGGTGCCCTGCTGTTTCCACTCAGTGATAGGAATAAGCACAAATGCTCACCGTGGAGCTGGCCCTGAGCTGGGTTTTTATGTTTGCAATTTTCAAAGGTAAATTATTTAGAACAAAAGATACTAAGCTCATCAGTGGAAATGTGTGGGTTACACAGTGAACCTCAGTGAGAGTTTTCTAATCAGGATGTCTCTCTGTTTGCTGGTGTCCTGGGTGAGGAGCAGCTAGTAGAGTGGAGCAGAGGCTTGGTGCAGCCTGGAGTGTCTCTGAAACTTTCCTGCATGGCTTTGGGATTCACCTTCAGTAGCTACAACGTGAACTAGATCCACCAGGCTCCAGGGAAGAGACTGGAATGGGTCTGATGTATACATCAGTAGTGGTAGTCATTACATATAACATGCAGACTCCATAAAGGGCCAATTCACCATCTCCAGGGACAACAGCAAGAACATGCTGTTTCTGCAGATGAGCAGGCTGAGACCCAAGGGCATGGCTGTGTATTACTGTGCCAGAAACACAGTGGAGTAAGCCTCAGTGGGAGTCAGTTATAAACCTCTGTGCAGGGGCGCTTAATATCAGCAAGGGTGCTCGAAACACAGTACAGAGTCTACCACAAAAGGACAAGTACATTTAAATATTTTATGTTGGAGTTAATGACATTTTTACAAATGATGCTATGCGTTAGTAGAAAGAGCATAGAAACAAAGAATTAAAATCCAAACTATGAAAAACACAAACTAAAACCACAAATAATTGATTTGTTGTGTAAGAGCCCCCTAAATACAAGAAATCCAGTATAATACAATATTGTTATTCAATTTGCAATTCACAATTATTGAAACTGTGCATTTGGAAGTATTTATCCTTTGCTGAAAGAGGAAAACTTATTTCTGAATGTTTTACAACAATATAAAACAAAATGGAAAACTACAACATTCACATGTAAGAATGGCTGTACTTACATGATCTTATGTGTCTCTTATCAGCAATAGACTGGTTATAGAACATACATAAAATGAAACTCCCAAGGAAATAAAGGAGAGACAAAAATACCTCTCAACTTTATGATAGCATACAACCAACATTCCATCTGCCCACAGTGAAAAGTCACAAAGCACTGTCAGGAAAAGCTTTTCAAACCACACACTTTAATAAATTAATTCAATAAAGTGATACTGAGAACTAATGTGTGCAGAGATTTCAGTAGTTATGAGTTTTTTCAGTTAATCCCAAAATTTGTCAACTGAGTGTTCAAAAGTTTCTTCTCAAATGACATTCCTATAAATGTTTCACATTTAGTATTTCAAAGACTTACTTTCTTTCCCATAAGAGATCATTGATAAGCATCTAAAAGTTCCAAAGTATAATGGCAATGAGGTGACCAATACAGGTGTCATTTTCAATGATCACATGAAGTGTTTGAGTGTTAACAATCTATTCAAAAAAGAACATAAAAATGAAAATAGGACAGCATTTATCTTAAATAAGTGCATAAATAACTGTGTGTGCAACAGAAAGACACAGCCTTGCCCCATTGAACCAAAGCTAACTGAGTTCAAAGCAATGATGGAACAAGAACCAAAGAGGTCATCTAGGATATCTTTGAGAAGATTCCTGACATTGCTTCACAACATGCTTTATAGAAATCCCTACA